TGTACGTACTCGAAGTCCTCGGCTCGCCACTGTCGCTTAGCAGACACTTCAAGGGCGAATTGTTGTATTCTTTCTTTCATTGCGATAGCAAATATATGGACATTCTCAGCTGGATTTCACCGCCGGCGTCGGCGTCAACGTGGACGTCGGCATCGATGTCATGCACCACATATGTATACGTATCTATATATGAAAACGCAAGAAAGAAAAACATCTAGAAAGAAATTCCGCGGTGTGCGGAATAGAACGTGGGGCCTCCGCGTCATGAATGCGAGGAGTTACCACTGAGCCACCGTGGGGTTCCTCCTTGGAGGTTCAAACGGCGAGCTATTTATATTTACCACTTACCGTGGTTGGCAGGCGTCTCTGGGCAGAACTACCGTGTTTTCAGCATTATCAGCAAGATGGCGCAGTGAGCGCGCGGCAGCTAGCTCTCATCTCTCACGCGTACTTTGGCAGTTTGGCCAGCGTAGAGAATAAGGGGGTGTGCACTCGATCGCGCGCCCTTATCTTGCAGTGGGGAGGATCGTACGTCTTGTACGTATTGTGTTCTAGTTACAGGGCGCACAAAGGTCACTGCAATCGTTGCACATCCTCCGTTCACGAAAAAGGCGCGCTTTTCAGACAGGACGAAATAACAACTGAGATGCTTATTTGCGTTCATCTGTATCTGTTGTTGTTTCGATCGGGATCGCGTTCATTGCTTCGCATTTGCAGCAAAGCTGTGACTTTTTTTTAGTGGAGTAGTAGAATCTGGCCGATTTCCGCAGCGTGTAGCCGTTCGTGATAATGATTGTTTTCTGATGACCATGGGACATTGTAAAGAGTGGCTAGAAAAGCTTCGCTGTTAAAGTAATCCAGACAACGGACTGGTGCATGTCCGATAGGAATGCAAATGTGGTAGCGGAAGCACGCACACAGGTACTATCTAAATGCTTCAGAGATTCTCAAGACTTCCCGCTCATTACTGGTACATGAATGTTAAAATCAGTCAACACACGAGAGAGACTCAAAAGAAGTAATTGGCTTCAAGTGAGCGTGAGGTGACTTAACGTAGGATGTCGCTGTAGTTGAAGTTTCGACGCGGGAACTTGCAGTCTTCAGCACTAAGATGTATGGAAAAAAAAAAAGTTGGTGTCATCGTCTCTAAAGAATGATAGTTGCAAAGTCGGGTGTGAAGTTGTGGAGACCACGAGAATGTGTGCTAAATTGCATCACTGTGCCTTCTGACGGTTTCCTTTGAGAGTGCGTTGTACAGCGCACGAACGTGCTTTTTTCTTCTTGTTTTTTTTTACTGGCGAGTCTGCTTGGCCATTCTCTTCAACCGTGCATGTATCAAAACGTGAAATAAAGCGACAGGTGTCGCTTCTGTGGCGGCATTCGAAGCGTCTGAGCCTGTGAGCCATTTCTGAGGCTCCGACGCTTCCATCTACTACGTCGTGTGTCCACTTGAAGTAGTTTCCCACAGGATATAATCGCTCGGCGTTTCCACATCGACTGGAGAGGTGACACTGCCTCACCTTGCGAGAAAACACGCGCTCAGTTGAAGTGGTGTGTGAGTTCTTACGAGCATGCAGACTAGGATGGCGCATGTACTGTAAGCATAAAGTTAGTCGCAACACTGTCACAAGGCGCAGTGATGTGTTTGGGCACAGGATGCCCTGATGCGCGCTTTCTTTCTGCCTCAATGCGCGCTCGTATGCATCGAGGCTCACTAGCTGCACGCGTGCACTCTTGAGTGTTCATAATTTCGCACTTAAACGGATACAGATGCCCCTAAAGTGAGAGGAAGCACGCGAGTTGGGGTAAGACTATAGGCAAAAATGCTTGTCAGTGCGCTATATCAGCAGGTGAGCTGCAGACAGCGAGAGTGTGCACCGGGCTCAAAGACTGAACCATCACAATGTTCTCATGATATCTTTATCGCCGGCTCGAGTGAAGTCGCGCTGCTATCATTACTGCTCGTAAGGGACGCTTCCAATGCTTGACGCGTTTGTTTGCTCACGTCGTGAATAAATCTTCGAAGCCGTGCCAAGGTATATGTAACTACACTGGTAGCGTAACTTCCGTAGGAAGCCCATCTATCAAACAATTAGCGGCTTGTTGCCACCGTCGCCATCTACGTATCGTAGGAACAACTAACTGCAAGCAGGGAAAAAAAAAAAAACGAAATGCGCCTGAACTGTAAAGCTAGACAGACTGCCTGCAGTAGGTCCCCCATATTTATGGCACTCGACCAAAAAGTGAGGCATTCGACCATCTAGTCAATTGTCAGATAAACAATTAGGTAAATTTCTAGTTAATTTTGACGTATATAAAAATACGAATATTCTACAAAAAATTCTGTTATCTATTATTTATCACCTCCTGATTCAATTCTGCGTCAGTCATACGATGGGTGTTCATGGCCGTGGTGATAGGTTTTTAACAACTTTTCGTTCAAAGTTTCGCCACGGATATAATTTGATTACGACCATGCGCTTTAGCACCACCAGGAATGCCGCTACTTTCACCCATTACGAGCAATGACGGTAGCAGCGTGGCTTCACTCGAGCCCGCGATAAAAAAAGCATCAGTATATCGAGATGGGTCAGCCAGATGTGCTGACGTGCCCTCGTTGTTGGCAATGTACGTACCTCCGGATGGAACGCTTTGGTTTGCAGTTTTGCCCAGCTTGGCCAGAGATCACGGACTCTGTTTTACTTTTGGGGTACTTGTACCTAAGTTCAGCGACAATTAGGGACCCTTGCCAGTTCCTCATAAGCAAACTTGGTGGCAGCAAGCATACTCAGCCCGGTAAGTGCTTCAAAATGCTTGTTTTCAATTTGCGTTGCCGTGAATGTCAAAGAACCATCGGTCGCTGACAGTTCGTTCACCGTGCCACGCTGTCACCTACGTTCCCGTAAGTTGCACCCGTGGCGACTACACTTAAATGTCATGGTCACGTCATTTGCGTCGCCGAAGTTTAAGGAAACTTTAATTCCGTGTAAAAAAGAAAAAAAATGCTGCGTGCAAATGGCAGATGAAGCTTGCACAGGAAGTCGTCTACTGAGACTTCGTGCAAACTGTTTGTCATGCCCTGAGCGTGCAACTGAATGAATGGGCATACTGTTTCCGAGTACCTGCGGAGCGATACAAATCTGGCATGCTCTAAAGGACGGTGTGCACAGGAAAGTCTCCCATCCTATTGCGCACAACAGAACAGTTCGTTGGGGACCGGAAGTAGTCATCATGAGCCACGCCACCAGTGCCACGGGGCTCCTCTTGTATGCGATCATTCGCTTCAACTGTCGCAGTTCGATTGGTCAGTGCTATATGTGAATCATTTGCCATTCATGCACTATTGATGGCTCGCACGTGACATAATGGGCGCCCAACATGGCGGCTTAAATGTCATCAAGGCAGTATAAGTGCCGCGGTGGTCTATAGTGGCAAAGGTACTCGGCTGCTGACCCGCAGGTCGCGGGTTCAAATCCCGGCTGCGGCGGCTGCATTTCCGATGGAGGTGGAAATGTTGTAGGCCCGTGTGCTCAGATTTCAGAGCTCTTTAAAAAACCCCAGGTCGTCAAAATTTTCGGAGCCCTTCACTATGGCGTCTTCATAATCATATGGCGGTTAAACCCAACATATCGATCAATCAAGCCAATATAAGCACACGGCGATCAAACTGCTTCAGTGCGATAACGACGTCGCTGGAACGTTAGTGGGCCTCTGTGCGTGCCTAGTGCCAAAGATCCGGCGTATAATGTACTGATAACTCTATCATGACATCACGAAGTTGGCGTTTCACCATGTTGGTGCTCCGACGTGGCTGTATCAGTGACGTCAGGGCAAAGCACCGTTCATTGTTTTTAGCTGACCAGCGCGCTCGTCAAATGACAAAACGTTGTTGGGTAACGAGTGTTGAACTATAGGCCATGGTCTTTATTTATTAAACACCTGCTGCACACCTTCCGGTCACTGCAGTGCCATGCGTACTTAAGAAACAAAGAAAAAGAAAATGGGGTAGTCCATAGGTGCTTAAAAAGTTACTCGTTCTTAAAGAACAGCGTGGTGATCTTATTTCTGGCACCGAAGTGCCACTTTTACGCGAAGCGAGATTTATGATGTACACTCGCTTCAGGCATGAATGCGGGCTGTGCATTCTTGCCGAGCCCACGCTTTTATCCGTAGCGTATTTTTGTTGCTTGCGTTGGGAGAAATAGAAAGCAGTAAGTCGGCAAGCCACGACACGGGCCTCGCACGAAAAGAGAAGGCGAGTGGCGAATGAAAAGAAGAAAAAAAAAAAAACGTGGTGTACTCATATACAAAAATGCTTCGGCGAGAACAAGGCGGCACGAGATTGGACGAATGTGACTTGTATGAATCAAGCGTGTGCCGTTTTGCAGGAGTCAAACTCTGCCGACATTAACGGAAAGGGAAATAGTTTTTCGCGAGCTCTGCTGAAAACTCTTGTCTGACATTTCACGGCCTGCGGCAGGATATATGGTAAAAACGAAAGGCTGCCTCTGTGGCCGGTTATTGAGCCCGAGCGCTTGACCCGAGTAGAATAACGTCATGACCACTGCACTAAGATGACACTCAAAGTGCGCTAAATATTGCGCATGTGAAGTTTTATGTCCATGCACTTTCGTTCCGCGAGGTATACGTTTCCTGGTTCACTGTTGTTCTTTTAACCGCGACACTCAAGATGTTGACAGGTTTTCGTGCAATGTCCTTTTTTTTGTGGGAAGTGTCAAGTGAACATTCGACGGACAATTTTGGATGCATGAACGGTTCCTGTTAGAATGATTGAATTTATATTAGGATAATTTATCAGGATCCGACACATCGCTACAGTGAGCCTGCAAAAGGGCAAGTGATGGTCCCGAAAAAATAAGCCGGGCTGTCAAAAATAATCAAGGATTACTTTAGTACTGATTGCGTCATCCCTTTCCCTACCCTTCCCAAACAAACAAACAAATACCGAAAAACAAGCAAAAAGGACTCGTACAACTGAGGAGAAGGCACATCCAAAAGAAGTGCGGGTAGTTTTATGTTAGAAGCAATGATTGAATGTTGCATCTCGTGCCGCGTGTGAGTTCGACCGTATTGAAAGATGTCATGGCCGTCATTCTTCCTCTTCGAATGACTCCGGCTCGATGCGCGTGTTGTTGCACACCACGGTGGCCGGATTGTAGTGACAGCGCGGGCTGTCGACGAGGTAGGCCTGCGTGCAGTTTCCTCCTTGTCGGCCGTACAGGTCGATGTCGTTGTACACGAAGTTGTCCGAGCCGCTGCCTTCCAAGTGCTCCCGACAGTCGCTGAACGCCTCGGCCACTTCCTGGGCGCGACCGTCGCGCTGACATTCGTAAATGGCCTCGTAGTTGCCCTGGCAGTGGAAGTAACTGCGAACGATGAGGCCACAGGAAGACGTTATCATCATCTTTATCATCACATAGACGCTCGGCGCTATGTATTCCTAACCGCACTCATGTTTTATTTGGATAACATTACAGTGCTATTTGCGTGTCAGTATACTCTGAAGCTCATGAATATTTCTCCCAGTTGATTGTACTCAATTATAGTTGTACACTCATTTCCGTTCTAACGCGTGGGATCCTCTGAAGCTGTTTTGACTTCTTTGACCTGGGCCCCTCGCATAATACTCATGTTGCAGTATAACTGTCATTTCAACTCTATACAAATGTGAGCCAATTGTTTTTCTGTTCTTGGTGCTCAAGTTTCTGTGCCCTTACTCCATCTCTCTTTATAATACCTTTATGGCAATGTAAGTATTCTGTAAGTAAATATATAAATATCCTTAAAGTAGCAGCCGGCCGACAATATGAATCAGAATTAGGATGCCGAACGTCTTTCCCGTTTTCGACAAAAATAAATAGTATTGGATGTCGTTAGAAAGCAACAGAAAAGAAAGACTTCGCACACCAGACAGACTGAATTCGAAATCACAAGAAAAGTAATTAGGGATTTTCGCCCGGAGAAAAATGAAATCAGAGGCCCCATACAGAAAACTAGCGTACCTTATTTTGGGAAAGATGGAAAGCACAATGTGTTTGGTATCTTTTCAATCGCGTGTGTGGAGTAATACAGGTGGCTAATCTAGACATTTTATTGTCATTATTGATTGCGTAGATGTAGGACGTGTATCGTTCCTTGGAGGAAAACCCTTTGGACATAGGCCTGAATAGATGAAAACGGAGAAGCTTGGAATCGTGAGCTTGACTATATGACTGTTAGATGAAGACTTGCAGCCTGTGTTTATTACTTGTGTGCGCAGTGGCGGATAGCTTTTTTTTTTTTACCTCGAAAGTGTTTTATGCCGGGAACCACCAAGGCTTCAGTGACATATTTCTGTCGTAGCATTGACGCCGAAACAATGCGCACGTTCGCAAGACAAAGAAAAAAAAGTACTGTCAACGGGAGTAGAACCTATATGACCTCTTGATTCGCGAGAGATGATGCTGGGCACGCTATCCACAACGCCTCGGCCACATTCTTCGTTTTTTTTAAATACGCCTTCTATATTTACCCCTATCCTCTTGGAGCGTTCTTGGTAAAGTGCTGTAATGCACCACGACCGTGGCATCCGCGAATAGTTCCTTTCATATATGAATTTTCGGAAACTATATAGAGTTTCCTAAAATTACCCATTGCACTTCTTCGACCACGGGAATTATGGGTATGACATGGATTTGCTTGCGGATGGTGAACTTTCAGCATCCGTTGCCTTTCCCGTTCTCTAATATTTTTTTTTATACGTACTCGGGGTCATTGGCTCGCAGCCGTTGCTTCATAGCTATGTGTTGGGATTGCTGTACTGTTCTTAACTCTTAGTGGACCAGTGTTGAATAGCTTTAGTGGACCAGTGGTGAGTATTTGGCTTTACCAACGTTTGGTTGCGCATGCCATTTATGATGATGATAGTTTCTTGACTGGCTTCAGACACTAATTATGGCAAGATTTGCCAGCTTCGCTTTTAAAAGCAAACAAAGCCACACGAGAGGCATTGTTTCACGCTCGGGATACTTGCATTGAAAATGAAAATGTGTAATTACGCTGCTGACCAGCACTCCAGCAAATCTTTGCGAGCCATATGTCAAGACTGAACACGACGTTTCGGAAAGAAAAGCACGAGTAAGTGCTAGCAGGCAGAATCAAGTTACTGGAATTGCTCAGCACAGCTTAGAATAATCGGCTAACAGACCCGACAATAAAATCTCTTCGGTGAACCCACTTTCATTGGGACTGTAGTGCGACCGTTAGAGCTCGCTTGGAGGAGAGATAATGCGTGCATTCACTGAGTTACCCATAAATTCGGACCATCGAAACTGTGGTTTATCAGAAGTAAGCTTTTCGTAAAAACTCTAGGAGCGCTAACGTAATGGTCAAGGTCGATCAGGTGCGCGACGCCGAGCCCCGAAAAGAATTTGAAAAAAAAAATCAACACAATTCGTGATCAAAGCTCGTCGCTTCGCGAAATTGATGACAAGAAACCTTAGTCATCGATGTTAACTTTGGCTATCACTTCGTCTTTCGATGGTTGCGATCCCGGCTGCGGCGGCTGCATTTCCGATGGAGGCGGAAATGTTGGAGGCCCGTGTGCTCAGATTTGGGTGCACGTTAAAGAACCCCAGGTGGTCTAAATTCCCGGAGCCCTCCACTACGGCGTCTCTGATAATCATATAGTGGTTTTGGGACGTTAAACACCACATATCAATCAATCAATTTCGATGGTTGCGAAAAGAGTGAAAGAAAATGAGGCGTCTTAATTAGGTTGTATTCCATACTAAAGTTACACACAAAGGTTGGTTGTTTCTGTGATGTATATCGTGCATGCGTGTTGTGCGTGTGTGTTTATGCTGAATATTTCATTTTTAGTGTCTGCCTGTTGATTAATACGTGTTCGGCCGAAGAAGTCGCAGTAACCTGAGCGTTGTTAGAAGCAAACAAACCTGCCAGCGTTGTGATCAGCGCTTGGAATGGAACCTGGAAGCGATTCATAGCGGAAGTGTACTGTATTCAGAAAAAAAGGGAAAGCACCCCCCGTAACTGGAAGTTACGGAGCCATGTGGTATATAGGGTTTGAGTGGTAACCAGAAGAAAAGTACATTCACAACCCCCTCCCCTTACCGCCCCTACCCTACTTCACACTCGCGCCGCTCCGTAATCTATGTCGCTTATGTTGCAGACAAAAAAAAAAAAAAAACAGGTGCTCGTGGCAAGGGTATCTTTCTTCATGATACGTCAAGTCGCCGTTCGCTACACGACACGGTTTAATATCAGGAAAGCTTACTTCTTTAAAATTCATAATCCGTGGTCGCGTCTGTGTTAGGAAAACACGGGACCTACTTACGCGTCGCAATCATGGCAGTACATCGATCGCCTGTAGTTGACGAACAGCTTTCGAGCGGCGCAGTCGGCGTGCTGTTCCTGGAAGAAACTCCGGCCGAACCTCCGCTGCAAGCACTGCATGAAGTCCCCCCATTGAACGTGTGCGGTTGAATGCGAAACGGTGATAGCGCAGAGGACCGCCATGACCAGCAGCGAGGTGTGCATAGTTGACCTGCAATGTAAATAATCACGACGACTAGGACAGGCAGAACATAACTATGATTCCTGTGGTCTAGCTTACCAAAGGCGTGAAATCTTTATTAAAACCGCCGTAGTCGAGGACTCCGAAAATTTTGACCTCCTGACCATCTGGTGGTATTTGGCGTGTACCTAAATCTAAACAAATAAACCTCCAGCAGTTTAATCTCAATCGAAATGCGGCCGTCGCGACCGACATTTGATACCGTGAACTTCGGGACAGTACCATAAAAATTAGATTAGTGTGGCACGTTGAGTGGTAAGACATGAATAGGTGTGGCAAAGCCCAAAATCATTTATTTAATGCGGACATAAACTTTGTGTCCGGCCTTTAGAATTAATAAAACATTGTATTTAGCATGGGTGTTATTCGGGAGTTGATTTTATCGTTCTCGATATTATAGGCTGAAAACTTGGAAAGGAGACATTTTACTAAGGTATACTACATCAAAAATTTGTTTTTTTTTTCGCTCTTTGACTTCGCTTAAACTGAAATGAGTGTGGGTGCTTACACTTGCACAAGGCCTTGCACTGGAGAAGTGAGGTGCTATATGCGCGTGTGGCAGCTTGGGCTAGTTGGTATGGCATGACGATAGTTATAGTGCGAGAACAAAACGACGACACAGAGACAAGAAAGACACGAAGAAGCGCTCGTGTCTTTCGTGTCCTTCTTGTCTCTGTGTCGTCGTTTTGTTCTCGCGCTATAACTATCGTCATGCTATAGGCGCCTAGTTATGTAATTGTCCTTGTTCCTACCCTTACCATCCTTTCGTCGACGCGGTTGCATGAAACCAAATGCACCTGCATCGTTTACTCCTGTTTACGTGATTATCCCTGATAAGGGTCGAGTAGGCTTGGCAAAGGTTAACTGAACTTTCAGTTTTATACAACGGTTGTGAATCGGGTTGAGTGGACGTCCAGTCGAGTTGAAATTGAACCCTCTTCTAAATATGTCCCATTAGTGAGGGATGGATGGCTGCTATGGAAAACTAGAGGCCGTAATCTTTATTTTTTTATGTACGTGATAGGATGATTTAAGCGTACAAATAAAGCGGCGGCAACTTATAGAGCTCTTAGAGGGTGTCGAGAATAGAACACAAGGTCCGAAAATTACATATAAAAAGCGTTTTCCCAGAAAAAAAAATGAACACAAAAGTACACAGGACGTACAATGAACAGTTAGAATTATATCCTGACACTGCAATATCACAACTCAAAAATACATAGAATAATGTCAGCAGGAGGAGCAAAAGTCATGTCATTGAATTATCGCGTATGGGGATTACAGTGAAGACAACATGGTCGACAACCGCCGTAATCACGGACGCTCTGCATCCCGGTGTAGCTTGCTGCTGAAATTCTCGTCAGTGAGAAACAAGATCACGTAATCAGTGTTGGATCGATCGTAACTTTGACTATCTTTGCTGGTAGAGGCTACGCGTGGGACGTTTTACTGAGCGCAAGAAAATGGCTGGTTTCTACCAGATCTTGGGGAAGAATAACACTGACATTTTTTGCCTTACTTCAGCTGAGTATCATGAACAGCGAACGGCACCCACCGCGCTCGATTCAGCGTGACTGCCGTGAAAAGAGAACAAAATAAACGGTCTGGTATGGTAGGTATACCGCAAGAGTTACGGAGAATTGGTCGAACTGGTAGATAGGTAAATGTTTCAGAAAAGAAAGTAGCAGCGAAGTCTGAAGGTCGTTGTGGTGGCCAGATAGCGACAGGCAAGAGGGTATGCGCATACTCCGATGTCTCCCAGTGTGAGAAGCCTATCAGGAGGAACCTTCGAGCACGTCATCCTGTAGGGCTTCTATGTCAGGGTGTAATGAAATTGAGTACAATGGGCACGACGCGAGAAATGCGGAAATGTGTCTCTACTTGCGACGGTAGTTATAGGGCGAGAACTGAACGACAACAAAGAGACAAGGAGGACACGTCGGTGTTCAGTTCTCGCGCTATAACTATCGTCATGTCATACCAACTAGCCCAAACTGCCACACTTCTAAGTTCCACTTGCGAGCAACAAGGAAAGATAAAAGCCACAAAGCCGCATAGTGGTTAATTAAAAAGAAATACTCATAAAAAAGGATAAGGAGGGTGCCTTAATATTTCAGTCATTGAAGCGATATGCCTTATACAAAAGCACCATTTTTTCATAAACTCCCACTTGTGCCAGCTCCACCTGGTATAATTTGATAACGCTTGAGCTTCGCCTTCAAGAGTACATTGAAACGTTCCATACGCCGTTCCAATAATTCCGTACGTTTCCTTACGGAATACATACATTCTTCCGTAACAATCTTACGGACACATATGTACGTAATTATTGGAATGACATACCGAACGTCTTAATAGGCATAGGTCGTGATAGTGGCCTCGTGCGCATAGCCTTCTGAACTGCTAACCTGCTTCGGCTATTGGTAAAGGCCTAAACTGTGTCGTAAGTGAACGAACGACGTCCGCTACGGTGTATCAGTGACTAAGGTGATTGGTTGCTGACCCCAAAGTCACGACGGTCACATTTCGGTGGAAGTGGAATGGTTGAGGCCTATGTACTGGTTGAGGTCAGTTCACGATTAAGGACACCAGATGGTCAAGATTTCCGGATCCCTCCGATACAATGTCTTTCATAATCATATCGTTGTTTAGGGACGTAAAAGCTTATTATTATTATTATTATTATTATTATTATTATTATTATTATTATTATTATTTTGCCAATTAGTGAAGGGCCCACTACGCGTCCAAAAGGGCAACCGTGAACCTACGCAACAGTTCACATTGTTAATTATTCTGCTGCTACTGATGACGACTAAACATGTCTAAGCGCTTTGTAAAAGGTGGGCCTTTAAAACAACCACCCTTGGTTGATGTCGCATCTTTTGACGCCTGGCGCGATTCTACGCATTTGCTACGCAATATATGAGGCCTTCATTAGAATCCTTCCCGTCCTCCAGTTTTCTTCTCTCCTCTTTCCACTACTCAATATTCATATAATGGTTTTTCAATAGAAGTTTTAACAAATATCGTGGTTTCGTGGTAGAACACGTGCTTGCGACGCACACGGCCTGGCTGTAATCCTCGCTCAGACCTGAAAATTTTATTTATTTTATTTGCACATTTCTTGATTTTGTGGTCACAGACAAGAGGATGATTTTTCGCTCTCCACCAACGAAGCCAACGCTGGTATTTCTGCGAAACTTAGCGAACTTTCCAACTCTATTGTATGTTGTTCATTGTGCACACGGACGCGAAACCTAATTGTGCATGCGCAAGTATTCCTGGCGTAGTCCTCAGTTTGGCTAGACGCTAGAATGTAAAAGCAGTGAATTGTTTGAGGGCAGTGATAATTAATGCACCTGCCCGTTATGAGCTAAATCTGAGAGTTCAGGGAGGTTATCGTAGGTAGCTTGTTGCAAAATATATGTAACTGCTACTGGTTATGACCTAGATCGATTGAAGCTATTTCCACCAAGCGCAAGCAATGTACTCCCCTATAGTGACGCACTAAGTGTGCGTAGTCGATCAGCTTAGCCCTTCGGCCCTTAGTGTACAGTTAAAGTACAACCCCTGGCTTTAATCTCAGCAAAAACTGTGAAGATCTTTTCTAGATTGTTGCTTAGTGCCCACAAAATCGAAACAAAAATGTTAAGGCCTTTGACTACTACCAGGATGCGTGACCCCTTCTTCCCTTCCATCAAATATATAGGTAAGCAGGACGATTCAGCTGAATATGTAAAGAAAAACATTGATATGCGGGCCACATGACAATCAGATAAGTTACCGTAATTGCACAGAGGTTGCACAGTTTTCTCAGAAATGTTATGTAAACAGTCGACTAATGCCTTTTCGTCTTGTTCAGCTCTCTATCAAAGGTAGATGCGCAATAACACATCTGCTGCAGCCCGTACTATCTCGTTGACATCGTTCTAAGGACACTGGAAACAAAGCGAATGATAAAGGCAGCGTAGGAGGAATGGAGCACACTTAGATAGGGACTAAGTAAGAGAATACACAAGCGCTAGAGAGTGCCACTCAAGTAAAAAAAAAAGCACGAGCAACGCTAGCACTTGTGTCATCTTATTCCGTTTTTCTCTAAAGTGTGCTATTCCAGTCAGGTTATGTAGCAAGCACCTAAAGCTGCTCTTATGTATAATCCTATGTACAAAGAAGGTGTAAAATATGTCGATTAAATTCGTACCTTGAGAATGAGACTTGATGTTTTCACACGCCAAAATAAATTAATGGTGAGTGAAATGTTCGCGATTGTGAACTTTCGCCGACTCTCGAGTGTCACTTATGTATGTCTAGAGCTCCGTCATGAGGAATATAACTGCGAACCGGAAGCAATCAGAAGTGTCTCTCAGAAATGGGACGAGGTTGCGAATGTCCCGTAACTGTACTTCTTGACGACCTTTAGGGTGAAACTTTTACTCATCCGACTAATTAAAGCTATGTCAGACTACAACAGGTATAACTGTCAAGATAACAGACCTTACCTTCGGCAGTGCTGACGAAGATCGACACTAGAGCGCTTAGACGAGTGCCCCTGGTGTTTGTCCGCAGGCAAAGGCTGCGCAAGAGCGGTGCGTCTTCTATATGCTCTCGCCACGCGACGCGCGCAGACCTATATGCATGCGGCCGGTTCTCCGGGTCACTATAGCCAACACTGTAGGCACGCAATGACGAAACTGCATAAAACGCACCGGCGCCGTGGAAGGCAGGTCAGTCGCCTTTCGTGTTTTTCTTTTCTCCCCCTTCCGCCATAATTGCAGTCTCTTCCCGCGATGCTTCTTGTTTCTGTCCTTTCTTCGTTCGGCCTCCTTCAGGAGGTTTGTGCAGAGGAGAATCGTGACGCTCGTCGTTTAGACGTGAAGCGTTTCGGACACGACCCTCGCTCGTCTTCCGCGGGGATAGCCCCGCTACCAGCTGGATTATCCGGATGCACTGCACGCGCGTAGG